TGATCCATTTGGACAAATGAGGTGATTCCTAGTAATTTTTTTCATAATATGTTTATATTTTTATTATTTTTTAAAATATTAGTTACAGTTTATTAACTTTCTTTCCCAGCTGTAGCCCGCTCCCTCATTCCCTCCCAGTCCCACCCTCCTTCCCTCATCTCCTACCTGCCACTTTCCAAATCTACTGATAGGGGAGGCCCTTCTCCCCTTCCATCTGACCCTAGCTTATCAGGTATCTTCAGGACTGGCTGCAATGTCCTTCTCTGTGGCTTAGCAAGGCTGCTTCTCCCTCGGAGGGAGGGAAGGTCAAAGAGCCAGCCATTGAGTTCATGTCAGAAATAGTCCCTGCTCTCCTTACTAGAGTATCCCCTTGGATACTGAGCTATCATAGGCTACATCCAAGTAGGGGTTCTAGGTTATATCCACACATGGTCCTTGATTGGAGATACAGGCTCATAAAAGACCCCTGTGCCCGGATATATTTGGTCCTTGTGGAGCTCCTGTCCTCTCCAGGTCTTACTAACCCCCCCCCCTTCTTTCACATGATTCCCTGAACTCTGCCAAGGTTTGGTTATGAGTCTCAGCATCTACTTTGATACACTACTACATAGAATCTTTCTTTTAAAATCATATATATATATATATATATATATATAATCTCATTATATTATTATTATATAATATATATAATATAATCTTATTATATATATAATCTTTTCTGATAGCTTTCATCATTCTTTTTCTTCTTGGTTAAAACAACTATGTATAACCTTTTGGAAAGTTGTTTGACAAGGATAAAAACATCTCTTTATCCTTGATGGCTTAGTCTGTTTCAATGATAGTGTTACCCTAGAATCTGTAACATGTATTCTGTCAACTAATTTTGATGATTCTGTCTGCAAAATATGTTTGAATTCATTTATATTAACATTACTTTTCATCATTTTAGACATACATATTTCAATTAAATATTTTAGGTAACATAAATTGTCAAACTACAAGTTTGATACTCTAAATTATCCTCTTCATTCAAAAAAAGTAACCTTTAAATGTATATGTCCATGTGTTGTTGTTGTTTTATTTTGTTTTCTGATTGTTTTGTGATTTGGTTTTGTTTTGTTTTTTGGTTTGGTTTGGTTTGATTTTTGCTTTTTGATTTTTCAAGACAGTGCTTCTCTGTGTAGCCCTGGCTGTCCTGGACTTTCTTTACAGACCAAATAGCCTTAAACTTACAATGATCTGCCTGCCTCTGCTTCCCTGTTCATGTGTTCTTAAGCTTCTCTATTTGAATCAGAAATTTATGCAGCTTCAAGGACCTCACTTACCTGTCCCTTTAGTTTTCCATTGTTAAAAAGTATGCAGATCTTTCATGTCTGAATTTGTTGCATTTGTCTTTGGAGCTGTACCTACTTTCTTCTCTTCCCACGTTTGCCTAGTGTAATTGTTCATCCAAACTATCTGTGCATAATACACTATTTCCACAGGGAAGCTTTAAATTAAAACTCCATTGCAATTTATTTTTGAATTCACTCCTTACACTTCACCGAAGATGTATGTTCAAAGTATGTATTAAAGCCTGGGATTTGTGTTCATTTATTCCTTCTACGCTTTAAACTATCATGCTAATAAAATAAATTGAAGCATTAATTCCTGATAACTCCTCAGTCATTGAATGAGAGATGAATATCGGCTGCTCAGAAATAAGTTGGGAAGGAATATGGCATGAGGCTTTTGATTTTCCCACTTAGTGTCATGAATCAGAATGAATTATGTAGGTTTTCAGACACAACCATGTTGATGAGTTTCACACAGGAAGGAGACTATACTACTTCCTGAGCCCAGACATTGGTGAGTTAGCACAGCAAGGCTGAGGAAAGATAAGAAAGAAAAGATACAAAGCACAAGGCTTTTTATCTACTTTAGTGTTTTATGTGGAAGTAGATCTGTACATGTTCAGTTCAGAATTTGTCTGCCAAACAGCTGGCTTCCTATGAATTCACAGTGCTGTGGCCATTTGGTCCCCTGCGCTGGTAATGTCTAGTATATTGATGCTAAAAGTTTGAAGACTTGAAAGTTTGCCCTAGAATGCTTCTAAATCCAACTGGAGATAGCTGTAATTATTCCTTCTTCAAAGTTTCTCAATGTACACCATGTACAAGTTACAGCAGAAGGTAAGCTTTGGTCCTTGCCAGGGTAGCATGGTAGATGAGACTAAGATGCTTCTTTTGTTTCTTGTCATGACAGGCATAACTGACATGAAATGAAATCGCTAAGGTTCTCTCCTTATTTGTAACATCGTGTGATGCTGGTATCATAATAACAAAGAAGTCAACTTATAAATCAGGACAAAAGAAAGAAGTTTTATATTTTAGAGTCATATTTTATGAATTAATATGCATAGTATCGGTTGAATAAAATTTCAGAGATGCTATTCCTTCTATCATTACTAAATTTAGGATGTCAAGAAAACATAATGTTGTCAACTTATGGATGAATTATATACCTGTTTTTGAAGATATACCATTTTTTAAATTTTTATTTAGTCTGAAAATTCCATGCAGGTATGCAATGTATTTTACCATACCCAACCCCTCTCTCCTCTCCAACTCTTCTAGGATCCCCTATAATCACCCTCAAATTTGTGTCCACCTTTTCAGTTTTGATATAACTCTCTGCATCCAAATCCTACTGGCCATATGTGCCTTCATGTTGGCCATCGACTGGAACATGGGCAAGCTAGCAGTGGTAACATCTCCAAAGAAAAGTGACTGTCCCTTCCACAGCTGCCACACACTGCCAAAAGTCCCTCACATCTTTAAACTAGTGTTTTGAACTCTCGACTTGCAGGTGTATTAGTCATAATTAAAAAAATGAATAATTACTTCTAATAAGCTCTGAGAAGACAAGATCTTGTTAACCTATTTACATTAAGAGGATTGTGCAGGTTGAGATGGAAAGAGAGTATTTCAGAAAACTGATGATAGGTGAAAAAAGCTACCATTCTTAAAATTGGTATTCTTTTGCAAAATGGGAGAATTTCCTAGAGTAATTAGATTCTATGGTTCAAAGGAAGAATTTAAAAATACATATATGCAAGTAGCCTTCTTTGCTTTTCCCAGAAGTTCTATGTTTGGTTGCTTGTGACTCCTCCATACATGTTGCTGATGAACTTGCCAGTGCACTTATCCCAGAATAGCAAAATATTACTGAAAGATATGAGTAGGTTTGGGTCTGTGTGTGTCCAATTGACTTTATTGTATAAAACTAGGTATTGGTACCATAAATAATACCGTCACAGTCATCATCTATTTATTTATTTTATATTGAGACAGTTACCCTTTGTAGCCAAGTCATCTTGAACTCATGGAAATTTTCTTTTTTGTCCTCCTAATTGTTGGGATTACAGTTGGGAACCACCACACCCAGCAATATTGCTTGAATCCAAAAGTCTGGATAATTTAGGTTGATATTATATTTAAAAATTCTTTATATGCCTGGCTTAGAATTTCAGGAGATTCTGCGTCACTGGAATTTTCGTCTTCTGTTTACAATTTATATCTTCTGTATATAATTGTAATAATATAATATCTGAGAATCCTGATTTGGGAACACAGTTGGGAATACCAACTGAAGTTGAGTGGCTCCTCTCACCCTTCCTAGAGCCATGTCTATTCATGACCACAACTGCCACCTTCGCCTCTTGTCCTCTACCAATCCCATTTTGCCTATTTATGTCCTTGCCTATTAGAGGCCATTAATTTTTCTCAACGGTAGAACAAGAATAATAAATTGCACATCCTTAGGTATGTGTTTTATAAAGCTGTCTTGGCAGCTGTGTGAACTGCACCAGTTTAGGGAACATTATGTGCATAGAAGTGTCTGAAAATAGCTTTTTGTACTTATTAAAATATTAGCATATGTTTTGAAATAATGATTTGGAAGCAAAAAAAATATTTTATTACTAAAAATAAGTGTGTTCTAAAGTGAAGAAAGCATTTATGTCATTACAGTATAGTTCCAAAAATAATCAAGGCAGCATTTCCATTTGCCCACAGGAAATATACTTCACCGTAAGGCAGAGAAATCTGATTTGATGAAAATTCTGCTCAGCTCATAAAGTGATAAAAAATCATTATGCAGGAAACAGAAGAGTTGGAAGATACCAACATGTATTTACAAAGCAAACGAGTGTTTGTGAGGCATTGCAGATGATCCCAGAACGTGCCATGCACACTACATTTAGCCTGCTTCACAGTGCTGAGATATTTCTGGCAGACTGTCTTTATATATTATTCTCTGAATAGAGAAATCGAACAGAGCAGGCTGAGTGAGAAGGACGGTTGTTTACCACTCCCTCTTTTCAGAGGTATTTTTGTCATCCCTTAGCAGCCAATATTTATGCATCTAATCCCTTCTCCAAGACGTTAGATAGAGCTCTGAGAAAAGTAAGGGTTTTTCTCCCTTTCTTAACAAGCACCTCTGCTTGAAATGAGGTGTGTTTGCAGTGCCAAAATTAAACACTCAGTTTCATCAAGTACTATAATCAGTGGTACAGAATGGATAGGTGGAGAACTGCGGAAATCTCAGCTTTTTTTTCTACTTACCATGTTATGAAAGATGTTGACAAACATTTGGGAAAAAGTGAGAGATGGCAGAAGCTGGTTAGGAACTGGTGGCTGCAGAAAGACACAGAAAACTGTCAGCGTCTCTATCCTCACCAAGCTCTACATCTCTTCTAGCTTTAGAGGCATTTAAAAGAAGGGAACATTTCTTGCACAATTCAAATAGAGGCTGAGAGGATCATACCTGTTTTATTTTATTTTTTAAATGAATGGGGATAACAGCATCTTTGCACTTCTGGAGACTAAAATGACAGGATTGGCTCCAGGTTTCTGTTCTCAATAAGAGCCTTCAGGTTCGTCTGCGACAGGATCTCCACAGAGGTTATTTTTACCTGGCATGGCTGTGCTGTTACTGATGCTGCTGTTCTTAATGGCTGAAATAACTTGTCCTGTGGGTGTCTCCGGCAGAATGAAAGCTGGGTCAAGGTGGAGAGGTGAAAAGAATCGTGAGTAGCCAGATTATTTTACTGTTGGCTCATTTCTTCCTTCTTTGTATTGAGAAAGTATCTGGTTTGACTTGTTTTTAGTCCACAGCATTTCAAGAGGTTGTTTTAGGATGTAGAAATAATTTTACACATTAAATATGCATGTGGAATAAATGGGCTCCACCTGCTAAGTGCTACACTGTGGCAAAATTGTTCCGGTCCTCATTACAGAGTTCTGTTTAGCTTTTGTTTTGTCTTTTAACTCTTACAGTTTACAGCACTTGAAAAGACTTAAGACTGATAGGTCCTCAGCCTGTATTATAATTGCCATCCTTATATGAACTGCAAAGGTGTTACAAGTATTTGTGTGGATTCCAAAACACTAACTATGTAATAAAAGAAACATTCGTGCCTAAGTACTTTGGCCTGAGTGTAAAAGGAAAGAAAAATTAGAAATAGTAAACATTATAAGAACTTTAATTTAATAACTAAAAGTTGATACTTTATAATTGGGGTTGGTAAACATTTTACACTCCAGGATCAGTTTATTGATTCTTTCCTTGTGGATGTGCAATCTTTTCACTACTTGACCACAAAGTCTGTTTCTGTATTTATACATTATTTACAGTACTATTATATGCTGTAGATATGAAGCTATTTTTAGTGTGAAAGGGAAGAAAGGGATTTGATGTTTACCTCTGCACTATTGAGTCCAAATGACCAATAGCTTTTTTTATTATCTCATAGAGTATAAAGGACATATACTCTATGAGATATATACTCTATGTGTGAATGTGGGTATGTGTGTTTGTGCTTGCACACACATGAACAAATACATTTACTTGTGAAGATATGAATGTATGGGCACTTTTTACCAAGATTTGAAGTATAACTTCACAGTCCCTACTTTCATATCTGTCTTCAAAAGGCAGATATAGAAATGGATCTAAGAACTTGCGAGGAAAAGGGAAATTTACTTTTGAATATTAATGCTCAAAAGGTGTATGTTAGTAACTTTTTAAATTGAGACTTCTCCACATTCACAATATCTGGGAAGCTAATTGCTCATACTGCAACTTTTGTTTAGTTTTACAATTTTTTTCATTATATATCCTGATTGAAGCCCCCTCCCTCTTCTCCCCTATCCCTTTCCCCTAGTCCACTGAAGGGGGAGTTCTCCTTCTCTGTCACCTGACGCTAGCCTATCAAGTTCTCATCAGGACTGCCTGGATTCTCTTCCTCTGTGGCCTGGGAAGGCCACATCACCAGGGGCAAGTGATCAAAAAACAGTTAACCAAGTTCATGAAAGAGGCAGCCCATACTGAAATCTAGACCTAAAGAAGCTAAATGCTAAGGAAGACCTAGGGAGGATGTTTAAATATCATTCAGAATGGCAAACAAGATAGACAACATAAGAGGTGGAAGAGAGGAAACAAGATGAGAGCCTACTGTAGAGGGTCCTCTGAAAGACAACTTTTGTTTTAATTGTGCTTCTCCATGCTGTGTTCTGCCATACTGAACTGACTTGAAGGTAGAAAGCCTTGGGAGTCAGACCAATGGGAACTGTAAGCAGGACAAGCAAGAGACATCTTAGAACCAACTTGCAGTATTTTCATATAAATTTCTCAGTTTTCAATCCTCACTGGATTATTATCTTTTTCTGTTTTATTCTTTTTCTTTTGATTTCTTTTTCTAGAAAAAGGCAGAGATATAGGGCATATATTTATGTAACCAAAAACTGTAAAAAGCTTCTCATCCACTGATAGGGGAGGTCCTCCTCCCTTTCCATCTGTCCCTAGCTTATCAGGTCTCATCAGGACTGTCTGCAATGTCCTTCTGTGTAGACTTGAAGAGGGGCATGGGAGGAGATGAGGGAGAGAGGATGAGATTGAGAGGAAATGAGGGAGGAGGCTACAGCTGGGATAAAAAGTGACTAAAATGTAATTAATATAAAAAATAAAATTTAATTTAAAAAGTTCATGATACAAAAATAAAAAGCTTCTCATCCTGAGCAGTTATTTTCTAGATGCACATGTGGCCTCAGTATCTCTAGTGTGAAGTTATAAAACTTATTATTCATTGAAAAAGAACAAGAGAGACATTTGTCTCCAAACTCAGGATTCTTTCTGTTATAATTTTATTTTTTTCTTATTAGTTACATTTTATTAGCTCTGTATCCCAGCTGTATCCTGCTTCCTCATTCCCTCCCAATCCCACCCTCCCTCCCTCATCTCCACTCTGCCCCTTTCCAAGTCCATATAGGGGGGAGCTCCTCCCCATTCATCTGACCCTGTTTTATCAGGTATCTTCAGGACTGGCTGCAAAGTCTTCCTCTGTGGCCTAGCAGGACTACCCCTCCCTTGGGGTGTGGGGAGGTCAAAGAGCCAACCATTGAGTTCCTGTTAGAAATAGTCCTTGTTCCCCTTACTATGGGAAACCAATTGCTTACTGAGCTACCATGGGCTACATTCGAGCAGAGGTTCTAGGTTATATCCATACATGGTCCTTGGTTGAATGTCAGTCTCAGAAAAGACCCCAGTGCCCAGATATATTTGGTCCTTGTGGAGCTCCTAACCTTTCCATGTCATACTAACTCCCCTTCTTTCATATGATTCCCTGTATTCTGCCGAAGGTTTGGTTATGAGTCTTAGTATCTGCTTTGAAACACTGCTAGGTAGAGTCTTTCAGATGCCTTCTGCAGTAGACTCCTGTCATACGTTCAATGCACATCCCATCTGTCTTTCTAAATGACGATTGATCATCTTACCCCATGTCCGCTCTCTTGATTATCTTTTTTAGGTGTATAGATTTCATTATGTTTATCATATCTTATAGGTCTATATAAGTGAAAACTCAGGATTCTTAAGAGTTATTCATCATCTAAACCTCAAATTTAATCATGTCAGCTTATATAATTGATAATATTACTTATTTAATCAATTGTTCGTAATGGTTTCATAATATCCTTCATGATGGTTTTACAAATTCATGATTCCCAGTGTAGACATGTCACCTTGCACTTGAAGATGAGGAAACCGATTGTATTACTCATTTTTCTTCCTGTAGTAACCAAATGCTGGACAACTGGAAATCTAAGGGAAGGCAGATTTAGCTTGGCTCCTGAGTTAGGATGGTACATTTTCAAAGTGAGGGAAGCTTGAACATGTCCACGGTAGTAGAATGATGAGACTGTTTTGGTCACACTAGGACTGAAGACAGGAAGCCAAAGACATTGAATTCTAATGTTCAGCTACTCGTCTCCTTAAGTATATAACTCCAGCCTGGGTAGGATGATGTTACCCACACTCAGAGAGGGTAACACCCTCACAAGCATGCACAAGGGGGAATCCAAGTCAGTTGACTTGGCAATGAAACTCAGCATCATACTGACACCTAAACTTGTGACTTGATCAGGGAAGGTCCCCTGGTACAAAGGGTGGGTTTCAGCTTGGGTGTGACTGCATAGACAAAGATGCCAGTGCTTTCTGGTTGCACAAATTTCCCTCCATGTATAATTGATCCAAGAGGGAACTCATTGCAGCCCCTCTATTGCCTCTGAGGCCACAATTAACATTCTTAAGTGAATCTGTTCTGGATGTTCAAATGGAAGTGCATAAACAATGTACTTCCAAAGTCCTCTTTCTGATTGAACAGATGTAAACGTCCCTCACAAGAGACACATATTTGAAAATACTGCTACTTTTCAGACAATATATATAAGTTAATATGGTGGGAAAGTATTAAGATGGGGGTGAGTGTCAAAATGAAGAGAAATTAATCGAACAATTATTCTTAATCTAAACATTTAAGGTCATGGTTATAAATGACTCAATTTCTATAGAGGTAAATAAAATGCAAAAATGTCCAAAAAATGTGGTTTGGTAGTCTCTAAGGCAAAAGAAACAACAAAATCTGTTACAGTTGCATCCTAAGTGAGCTACCAAGAAATAGCAATAGAGAAATAAAACATGTTCATAAACAGAAGAGTACAGACAAGAATAGCTGAAGAATGCAGGAAGACATTCAGAAGTAAGAGAATTACTATTTTTTTCTTTTTTTAATTAATTGATTTATTTTTTATTTTTACTTTTTATTTTGACAGTTAAATTTTAATATAGATAAAGCCCTGAGTACTAAATACATCAGATTTTAATCATATTCATAGAATTCTATAATACCAATAATGAAAATTAAATTTCTCCTCCATTAGTCATCAGAATGCTGCACATTTCAGTATCCTCTGTCTCTCAGTTTCTTTTTTTTAATTTTAATTTTATATTAATTACAGTTTATTCACTTTGTATCCCATATGTAGTCCCTTCCCTCATATTCTCTCACTCCCACCCTCCCTCTCACTTCTCCTCCCATGCCCCTCTCCAAGTCCACTGATTGAGGAGGTCCTCTTCCCCTTCCATCTGACCCTAGCCTATCAGTTCTCATCTGGAATGGCTGCATTGTCCTCCTCTGTGACCTGGTAAGGCTGCTCTCCCCTCAAGGGAAGGTGATCAAAGAGCCAGCCATTGAGTTCATGTCAGCGACAGTCCCTGTGCCCATTACTAGGGAACCTGCTTAGAGACTGAGCTGCCATGTCCTACATCATGAGCAGGGGTTCTAGGTTATCTCCATGCATGGTCCTTGGTTGGAGTATCAGTCTCAGAAGTAGATGCACTTATCTTTACTATGTAACATTATTGAATATGATATTATCTTAGATCTAATATTAATGTACAATGATATTCAAAAGAACATTCAATATAACAAAACATCTCAATAAAATATAGAAACTCAGATAACAATAATTGATTCTGTAGAGCTTAACTTTCAGAGAGAAGCAAGCCTTTAAAAATGGTGGCACGAAACATAGAGTGGTGCTGCATGCAAATTAAAAGCCAGCCTAGGCTACAGAAAATGAAAATTTCCGCTCCAAAAATGTTTCTTGATGTAGTTGATGTCTTGTAGACGCAACCATCATTGCTGTGAGTTCATAAGAACATGTGCAGGAAATAAACTTTTGCAGTCTT